AAAGAAAAAAATGAATTTGAATTCTAAAAAGAAAAATTCAAATATTCATTTATATGTATTAAATTTCTTGAACAGAAGGAGAATACTGTTGCCAAGGAGACCAAAGCAACTGTTCAGCTCTTTAAAAAAAATCCATGGCAATTTATTCCGCATAATATTACATCCTACTCCAGCTTTATAAAAGCCAATAAAATGGTTTTAATGAGCGCCTTGGAACTTAGTTTACATTGTCACTAACATTTATTAAACATTTGGTTTATGGAATCTACCATAGTGATAAGAATACAGTAAAAGTCAGATGACCTAGGTTTGAGTCCCAATGTTACCACTTAAAAGCCACATCTCCTTCAGCAAGTCACTTTTCTTTTATGAGCTTAAGATTCTTTACTTGTAAAAAAGGGGATAACTACTACCTGCCTAACACACTGTTGCTGTGAACAGCAAATGAGACTTAGAGTATTCTACTTACGTTGAAACACTACAGAAATAAATTCCAGGAATAAGGACTGGCATTTCCCAAAAGGAATAAAACCATATGTAGATACTCTGTACTCTTCATTGACTAAATGCCAAATTCAGTATTAGAAAAACGTGAACAAAAAATGTTATATAAACTAGTGTTGTAAAAATTGGATTGAACTAGGTGGCAGATCCAAGCTCCCATCTAGGTTCCCCAACTAGATAATGCCTACAATTTCTTTGGGTCTCTACACAAGGACCCTGGGGTAGACCACCTTTGTAAGGGTGTGTCATGGGTGTATTTCCCATCACATAGCGATGATTTAAAAGGAAATTTGGTCACCACCTTTTCTATCTGGGCTACATTAGGAGGCACAGAAAGTCATGTGAGTGACCTTGAAAAAAACTTCTACTGTTAGACTAATGTTTGAATCACTGGCTTAGATTGAAGTATTTTATTTCCACTTTCAGGCTGTTTAAAAGCCTACGCTACCTTGAACTTTACATGATACTCTTTCTCAACACACACCTACATTTTGAGATCAGAGTGCTCTATTTGCTATTTCTTAAAATGCCATGGCCAACTCCTGCCTCCACATCATTGTTGATATATAGGAAATTCAACACCTTTGTGGAAACTGCTATAGCAGGTTGAGCTGCTCTGCCCTGTGTCCTAGCTGTATTCCTCATCCAGCCACTGACCCACCCACTTTGCCAGTGCCTAACATCTTACAGACAGGATTGCTTTTAAAAAGAAAATTCACAATGGATAGAACAGGACATATTATATTGAGAGAACCTGGCTTCTGGGCCAGCACAACTTGTCTATAATTTGACAGAATGTATGAAAGCACTGAAAGAACGAACTAGGAAGGAGGTGAGTGACATAGCCATAGAGCATAGAAGGAGAGAGCACTGGTAATAGAGTCATCTGTTCACTGCCTGGAGGAGAAATGCCTTGATCCAGGACTTGTTGGGTTCTAGTGGTAAGATAGTCCCATCGTGGAGATGTGTGCATTTACTTGATGCTGTTAAATGTTGTGTCATATATCTGACTCCCTGTGACTTGATTTCATGATCACCAAAAATCATCTTTTGACTTCTCTTATGGTACATCTAGAAAATGTCCTGAATAGAAACAAATCTACTTAGCTATTACATCGGTACCATACGTTAATAAAACATTCTGAATTCAGACATCAGTTTCTGTGACACTGAGCACAGTGAGTCCATCCTGAGACAAGGTAGGCTCACAAATTAGGCTGAAAGCTCAGGAATTGGAAGGTCACATTCTGGACTTGTAAATTTACCAACAGAAAGCCACCCCATGGAAACTACATGTAGTATTCCAGACTGCCCCAATAAACACCCTGTCTTGCATCGTTTTCTTTTTAACATTTGCACACACACCTGTGTTTATTTAAGCCCTTAAAGACATACTAATGCCCTTCTATGACCTGGTCTTTACATACCCTTCCTAAATTTTCTATGTACCCTGAGTGACAGCAGAAATAAAAGTTCTTAATATACACATTAAAATTTTTCTCTCTCTGCTTATCGTAGTTCTCCTTATGTTAGCAAGTCTAATTTTAACTAATTCTGAAAGTTGAGCACAAATAACATTTTTTCATAAAGACTTTTCAAAATACACCAACCAAGACTAAGATTAGTAATTTTAGTGACCAACACAAGTAGCAAATTGCCCTCTGATCAATTTATAACTTACTATGTGCCTCATCTGAGTCACGAAGAATTGGTGGCATTTGGTAAGTTCCTTTTTTAATTAAATAGGTATTCATCAGGTGTTAAACTCAGTTTCTCTATGTTAAAAACTACACAGGCCATCAACGTGTAATGTAAGAAATGCTATGAGTCTGATTTTATTTTACATTTCTGCACTCTAAATTTCAGTGCCCTGAGACATAGTCTAGCTTACCTATAGTATCAATCTGCAGTAGACACAGTTTCTCCATTAAATGTATTCTCTCCTATTAAGAGAGGATCAATGAAGAAATGTATTATATTTATTAAATAATAAATTACTTAAATCTATTCCTCTATTAAGGATATTTATTACTTGTCCCTATTATTTATGCTTTTCCTTACCTTCTATGTTCTTTAAAGATATGATTCATATCTATTTTATCTTTCTGTCTCTCACAGGTTTCAGCCAGTGCCTTATATTCAGAGGCGCTTTAAATACAAATTAAAAATTTCTTTTCCACTTTCAATGAAGTTTATCTTCATTCTTTTTATTTTAGTATGTTTTATTTTATTTATTTATTTTTGAGACAGAGTCTCAATCTGTCACTCAGGCTGGAGTGCCGTGTCTGCAATCTCAACTCACTGCAACCCCCACCTCCTGGGTTCAAGCAATTCTCCAGCCACAGGCTCCTGAGTAGCTGGGACTACAGGCACATGCTATCTTGCCTGGCTAATTTTTTTTTGAATTTTTAGTAGTGACGGAGTTTCACTATGTTGGCCAGGCTGGTCTTGAACCCCTGACCCCACCCAGGTGATCGATCCGCCTCAGCCTCCAGAGTGCTAGCATTACAAGCATAAGCCACCGTGCCCGATCTCTCTTCATTCTTTTTATATGTATCCTGCCTTCTAATGAAGTCTTCCTTGAACATCTCAGTCCGCAGTTTACTCCTACTTTTGAACTATAGGAACTACCTATAAACCATTTAATTGCCACCAAAACTACTCTAGCATTATTATTTTATGTGTATTTCATAGGTGTCTTTAATATTTCAGTATATCCCAATAATACATATGCAGAGAATGGACAATGGAGAAATACAAATTCATTCAATCTTTTAAAAATCATTCGGGGCAGGGTGTGGTGGTTCATGCCTACAATCCCAATACTTAGGGAGGCTGAGGTGGGAGAATTGCTTGAGGCTCAGAGTTCAAGACAAGCCTGGGCAACATAGACCCCATTTCCACAAAAAAAATTTATTTTTCTAAATTAGCTGGGCGTGGTGGCATGTGCCTGTAGTGCCAGCTATTTGGCAGGCTAAGGCAGAAGGATCACTTGAGCCTAGGAGTTCAAGGCTGCAGTGAGTGCATGAGCTGTGACTGTGCCACTGCACTCCAGCCTGGACAACATAGCAAGACCCTGTCTAAAAAAAAATAAATAAAATCAATCAGGAGACTCATTAGTAAAAGCATAGTTAAAACTGGCATCTAAAGAGAACAAAAAGTCTTGCTTCTCCAAGTGTGGGCCACAGACCAGCAGCAGTAGTATCACCTGGAAATTCATTCTTAGGAAATTCATTCAGAATCTGAGGCCCCCACCCCAGGCCTCCTGAATCATAATCTGTATTTCAAGATCCCCAGGTGATCTGTAAGCACATTAAGGTTTGAGAAGCATTGATTTAGGCTGTAGAGGAAGAATTATTCGTCCAATATACATATGGCCAATTAACACTAAATACCTCCTTATAATTGCTTATTTGTTGGTCTTCCTCATCTGCTGACTGAGGCTTGTTGAGGGCAGGAACTCTTTCTATTTTCCTCACAATTGTTTCCTGGTTCTAACAAGACCTCAAAAATGCACTTGGCACTCAATATTTTTTTGCTGAATGAATGACTGAACAAAGTAAAACAAAACTTTCAGAAAGAGAAGCCTTAAGGAAATTCATTTGTACATGTCACATTCTACCATACAAATTCCTTAATTCAGTGTCATTAATTCTATTTTAAATGTGCTGCCTTCTCTACTTCAACAAAGGTATTTTATGCACTTGACAAAGCAAAGGCTTGGATTGTCTTCCTCTGTTGGGGCCACCAGGGACCTCTTTTACAAGTAAGACAGCTGCATTTTAATTCTGATTGTCACAAATCCATCCCAAATGCCTGCACAAGGTTTAATTACCGCAACAACTTGGAGGCGGGGAGGTGTTGATAGAGAAGTAATGGTTAAGGCAAAAACAATCCTGTATCAAGAGTATCATATGAAACCTGGAAAACACGGGTTCCTTGAACAGAATAATTCCAGAAAATAGCTGCCGGTAAGGGAAAGAAGAGGTAAGCGGCTTGCCTTTCCCAAGAGCAAAAGGTGATACTAGAAAATACCAGGGAGTGATAAAAGACCAGCGACTACCTAACGACTGAAGGAGGAAACACAGCAGGCCAGAACTACAGCGGATAGCGGTTAGAAACGCCCAGTAAGGGTGCCAGAAACCACTTTCAGGTTGTGGAGAAGGAAGTTGAGGGAGAAAAAAGGAAAGGAAATCGTTGTTTAGCGTATAACTTACAATGATGATGATTCATTTTTTCTTTTTTTTAAGAAAGAGAGAAGACAGCACTTGAAGGGAAAGAGAGTAGAGAGGAGGAAGGGAGGGTACAATTGAGAGCACTGCAAAAGGAAGCGAAGCAGATGTTGCCGCCCGTCTAGGGCGGTCTGAAGGCGGCAGCCCACGCATAGGTGGGTGGCAACGCCCTGCTCCGCTGCCCGCGGGGCGCTGGGTGGGCACAGGAAAGAGCGGACTGTGTGTGGGAGGAGGCGACGGATGCCAGGCTGACCAGGTACCCACCTTATCCCAGCGAAGCCACTGCCCGATGGCCGTGTCCAGCTGAGGGTCCCCGGTGTGGTAGGGGGCGTAGAGCAGATTGGAGTTCAGGTCTCCCTCTGTGTTTTCGGCCATGGCAGCCAGACAGCCGTGCGGGCCAGGGGCCGGCGAAGACACTGAGATGGGGTGGGGGTGGCCTGGGGTGCACTCACCAGGGTCCGGACGTCCCCACCTCACTGAAGGGCATTGGAGACCAACCGCAGGGTGCTTGCAACAGCTCCCGCTGCGGCGTGAGGGAACAGGGAGAGAGGGGGCTTATGGCTGCCTGCTCCCCAGGGGACCAGGTCCGGGTCTCTGGACGAAGTGACTGAGGCGGTCGCGCAGCGAGAGAACAACAACAGTCCCAGATGTCTGGGTCCTGGCCCCGCCGCCGCAGCCACCGCCCTTGGCCACGCCCCGCGCCTTAGGCACCGCCCATTCCCGCCCCTGCTGATTTAAGTCCCCGAAGCTCCACGCGCGAGCCTGGGTGCTCACTCTCCACGCCTCCGAAGTAGCACGTACGTGTTTACCGCCCACCGGAGTGGCGAGGCAATGGTGCACGGCTTTTTCTATTTTTTAATTTGCCATGCGTATCCTTTCCTTGATCTGCCCTCACAGCTACCACTAGCAAACTGCCTTCGCGCTTGCCCTGCGGGTCCCCAGCGCGCGCGCAGGCCCCTAGGTTCTCTTGGAGGCACCCGCCCGTAGGGGGGGCTGTGTGAGCTCTCTGCGCACTGCCTCACGGGGTTGTAGTTCTATCCTTTGTCTGAACTCGGCGGAGACCGCCGCCGAGACTACGACTCCCAGCAGCTCCGCGCCCTCCCTTTCCTCAAAGAAAAAGATCTACCTTGAGGCAATTCCTTACGGACACCACCTATCCCGGTTAGTTAGGTTGGGCTATGTGGCCCTGGCATTAAATTAAACAAGGAATGACATAGTAAGGGAACAACGTGGAATCCGTTTAGTGCTGTACAGTTTACTAATCGCGTTCTATCGCTTCAATCCATTAGTGAGGTAGAGGGACGTAGTCCTTTCCTGTTTTACACACAAAGAAGAAACTGACTCTCTGATACAACTCTCCTAACAGGCAGAGTTCTTAAGTGGTTGAGCTAGGGTTCCAGTCTCATTTCAGATCCCCTCAGCTGGCAGTTATTTTATTAGTCGGTGCAAAAATAACTGCGGTTTTTGCCATTAAAAATAATGGCATTAAAAGTAATGGCAGCTGGGCCCGGTGGCTTACCCTTGTAATTCCAGCACTTTGGGAGGCCTAGGCGGGTGGATCACCTGAGGTCAGGAGTTCGATAAGAGCCTAGCCAACATGGCAAAACACCGTCTCTACTAAAAATACAAAATTAGCCGTGCTTGGTGGCAGGTGCCTGTAATCCCAGCTACACGAGAGGCTGAGGCAGGAGAATCACTTGAACCTGGGAGGCGGAGGTTGCCATGAGCCGTGATGGCGCCATTGCATTCCAGCCTGGGCAACAAGAGGGAAACTGCGTCTCAAAAAAAAAAATAAAAAAGTAATGTCACAAACGGCAATGACTTTTGCACCAACCTAATAGCTCTGCTGCTGCGTGGACTGGGAGGTAGGGAGAACAAGATTACTGGAAAATAGATGAGGAAATTGTTGAGGGAAGATGGGTCGGCATTTAACCTTAATATAAGAATGTATAAACATCAGAAGATACCAAGAGTAATGATAATGGGAATATGGAGAAAGAAGAAATTGGTTCACGCAAATTAAGATAATCTTCTGTTACTTTTTAGCTGCCTCTCCTATGGAATGCTCACCTAAGTTGAGGTCTGGGAAATGCTAAGAAGTGCTGACCTGTCAGCCACCTAGCTGCTCCTCCGTTTCTTCGTTTGGCCTTCTTAGAATTGCTATGATTTTGACCAAATATATTACAATTCTTTCCATAGTCAGCTTTTTTGTAAGGAGAGTATGATAATATTTATATCATGGCTGTACAGTAACTTAATAAAGGGCGTTAGGCTGCTTTGAGGTTCACAGATAAAAAGACATAATAAATTCAAAGTATTACTTTATTTCCTTTAAAGTGCCATTTACCATAATAAAATCCAAACTATGAAGATACAAAAGGATTGTGGTGCCAGTTTCTGAAAAACATGCCATAGTTGAGAGTTGCAGTTTTTGCTAAGCGATTGTTTCTTTTGTGGAGTCAGCAAGACTCTTGTTCTTTTAATCACACAAGCCCTGGGAAACAAGCACATGTCCTGGAGAGAAATGCATCTTTCACTGCCATCACCATTATAGTCCACGATACATATTAAACATTTACTCTCTGCTAAGCATTATGGTAGGAGCTGAGACTACAAGAATCTATATAATTGTTCATTTTGAGAAATAACATTTGAGGAGACAGGATATATTTAAGAAAATAAAGCCCATGATAAATAGCAAATGCTGCAAACAACTGTTAATGAATTTACATCTGAGGAGGTCAATGAAAAAAGCATCAAGCAGGAGGGATCTGCACTGGGCTTTCAGAAAAAAAAATAAACAAGTTGAGAATAAGGTAGATCTTTCAAACTCATAGACCAGTGGTTCTCATATTTCCCTAGAAGTTTGTTTAAATTCATATTCCTGGACACTGCCTCCAGAGATTCTGAATCAATACATTGGCACAGGGCCTAGGTACCTGCATATTTGAAATATCTATTGACTGTCACAGAGTTGGCCATAATCTCACAACTCAGTGTGATTAGAAGGACCACTGTGTTGATGTCCTCTGGAAGGTTATTAAGAAATACAAAATTTCAGACCCTACTCCAGCTCTGCTTCATCAGAATACACATTTTAACAAAATTCAATAATGATTTATATTTAAATTTGGTAAGCAGTGTTTTGTATAAGACAATTCTTATTCAGTTCATTTCTGAGAAACACTACCAAATCAACAGAGCTTTCAAGAGATGGAAAAAAAAGAGTCAACTAGCCTTCACTTTTATCAGCAAGATCATAGCAGATGGTAACTGGTTACCAGAAATCTTGCCCAGCGGATTAGGTTTGTTGTTTGGATGTTGGAGGGTAACCAAGGAGACCCAGAACTCATCAAATCCAACAACAGTGTCTAAGTGTGTTCAGCAGAGGAAGTATAGTAGTTCCTCTAGTCTGGGAAAGCTCACAGCTTTCATTTCTGTTGGAATTTGCCTGCATTTCTTGCTGGCATCCTGCATTTTTATTTATTGAGCCTGGCAACATTAGCTGTGGTTATGAAAAAGAATATCCTTCTTGGTCCCCATATAGTCATACATCACTTAATAACAGGGATATGTTCTGAGAAATGCATCATTAGGTGATTCTGTTGTCTTAACATCATAGAGTATACAAACCTAGATGGTATAGCCCACTATACACCTAGGCTATATGGTATAGCCTATTGCTCCTTGGCTACAAACCTGTACAGTATGTTGCTGTACTGAATACTATAGGGGATTGTAACACAATTGTAAGCATTTGTGTATCTAAACATATCTCAGTATAGAAAAGGTACAATAAAAACATGGTATAAAAGATTAAAAAATGGCACATCTATATAGGGCACTTAACATGAATGGAGCTTGCAGGACTGAAAATAGCTCTAAGTGAGTCTATGAGTGAGTGGTCAATGAATGGGAAGGCCTAGGGCACTACTGTACATGACTGTAGCCTTTATAAGCACTGTACACATTAGCCTAGGTTTACACTGGATCAGGATCATCAAGACATTACTCAGTCATAGGAATTTTTCAGCCCCATTATAATGTTATGGGACCACTGTTGTATATGCTTTTCTTTGATTGAAACATCCTTATGCAGCACATGACTGCATTATATTTATTACATATATATAATATGTTACAGATATTATTTATAATGGACCTAATATTTTAGAATCATATATATATCTTACCCTCAAGTGATTTAGAAAAATACTACGTGTATGTCTACATGAATATGTATTATATATGTATACATACAAACATATATACTATATAGTTAAATAAATAGCAAAGGACAAAGCAAATTGAAGAAAATGTTAACAGTAGGTAGATCTGAGTAAAGAATATATGGGTGGGCCAAGCATGGTGGCTCACATCTGTAATCCCAGCACTTTGGGAGGCCAACGCGGGTGGATCATGAGATCAGGAGTTCAAGAGCAGCCAGGCCGACATTGTGAAACGCCGTCTCTACTAAAAATACAAAAATTAGCCAGGCATGGTGGCATTCGCCTGTAATCCCAGCTACTCGGGAGGCTGAGGCAGGAGAATTGCTTGAACCTGGGAGGTGGAGGTTGCAGTGAGCCAAGATCTCATCATTACACTCCAGCCTGGGCGACAAGAGTGAAACTGTTGTCTCAAAGAAAAAAAAAAAAAATATATATATATATATATATATATATACACACACACATATATGTAGGTATTATTTGCACTATTTTTATTTTCATAACTTTGAATTTTTCTTTTCTTTTCTGAGACTTGGTCCTGTTCTGTTGCCCAGGCTGGAGTGAGGTGGTGGGATCATGGCTTGCTGCAGCCTTGACCTCCTGGGCTCAAATGATCCTTCCACCTCAGCCTCTCAAGTAGCTGGGACCACAGGTGCCTGCCGTCACACCCAGCTAATTTTTAAATTATTTGTAGAGATAAGGTCTTGCCATGTTGCCCAGGCTGGTCTTGTGTTCCTGGCCTTGAGCAATCCCTGCCTCAGCCTCCCAAAGTGCTGAGATTACAGGTATGAGCCACCACATCCAGCCATGAAATTATTTTGAAATAAAAAGTTTAAAAGAAAAACCTCCACTGTATAAGAAATATACTATACATTTGTTTGTTATTAAAAAAAAAAAAAATCTAGCCAAGCGTGGTGGCTTATGCCTCTAATCCCAGCGTTTTGGGAGGCCGAGGTAGGAGGATCGCTTTAGCCCAGGAGTTTGACACCAGCCTGGGTAACAGGGCAACACCCTATCTCTACAAATGAACAACAAAAAAAAATTTTTTTAATTAGCTGGGCATGGTGGCTCATGCCTGTAGTCCTTGCTATTTGGGAGGGTGAGGCAGGAAAATCCTTTGAGCCCAGGAGTTCTGGGCTGCAGTGAGCCTTGATTGTGCCACTGCACTCCAGCCTGGACAATGGAACGGAACCCTGTCGCTAAGAAGAGAGGGAAAAAATCTAATTAAAAGACTGGAAGTTCTCATTCTCTTAGAGCAGCAAGAATTTGAATTGTCATTAATATCTGGAAGTTTCCTCCCCAACCAGGTCTTATCTGGTACTTGGAAAACAGGAAGGGTCTGTAGCTTGAGTTCATTAAGGTTTGTGCAGACATCTGCATTGTCCAGAGCTGTAGTGGTCGCTGACACTGGAAGTCTGACAGCTTTCTTCCTGCATACCATTTGTAAGCAATAACCAGGAAACTTGGTTGAGGCTAGGAACCATGAAGCCTCTGTCTAGATTTACCACGTGGCCATCCCTTCTAAAATCTTGCCCATTCTTTGAAATGCTACCATCAGGCAGAGCTTACCTCTCTCTCTCATTACCTTCCTACTTTAAAACTTTAAATCTTGACAAAAATCTATCATTCTGCTCTGTGATTGCTCTGAAAAGAGAAGTATTTTCTTGTTGCTCACAAACATATTTGTTATAAACTCTAGTGAACTCTATTTAAAAAAAAAAGAGAGAGCCAGGAAAGGAAGTATCTTGTAGGCAATTTTCTACTTTTAGCTCTCTTACATAAAAACCTCCTCTGAGACAAGGGGATACAACAAGAACAACAAATGAAAGGATGGTTATCTTTGTGAAAGGGAGGATGGATGCAGAACATACCCAAGAATATAGTGAAGCAAGGCAAAGAACTCAAGGTGTAAAATGTAAGAAAGCCTTTGCTCTTAGGTTTGTGAAGTACAGGGTTGGTACCTGAGAGCCAGTGTCTCATTACATTTGTTGAGATATAATTTACATACTATACAATTCAACCACTTATTTATTTATTAGTATTATTCATTATAATTTTTTTACTGCTTTTTGCAAAGCAGGGCTAGCTCATAGGCAGTGTGTCCAGAGCCTGCCCAGTTCACCCATTTAAAGTATAAAATTCATAGTTTTTGTTACATTCACAGATACATGCAAACATCACTACAGTCAATTAAAACTTTGGTCACCTCTGAAAGAAACCCCGTGCCCTTTAGCCATCAGCTCCCTATCACCTTATCTCCCCACTCCCAGGCCACCAATCTCCTTTGTATCTCTGTGGATTGCCCTGTTCTGAACATTTCATCTAAATGGAATTATATCATACGTGGTCTTTTGTGACTGTTTTTTTTTTCACTTAATGTTTTCAGGGCTCATCTGTGTTGTAGCATACACTTCATTTGTTTTTACAGCTGAATAATATTCCAGTGTATGCATATACCATATTTGTTGATCCATTCATCCTTTGGTGGACATTTGATTCATCTCTGCTTTTTGATTGTTGTGAATAACGCTTCTATAAATATTCATGTATAATTTTTTGTATAAAATGTTTTTGGCTTGGTACAGTGGCTCACACCTGTAATCCCAGCACTTTGGGAGGATGAGACAAGTGGATAACTTGAGATCAGAAGTAAGAGACCAGCCTGGCCAAAATAGTAAAATACCCTGTCTCTACTAAAAATACAAAAATTAGCCGGGTGTGGTGGCACATGCCTGTAATCCCAGCTACTCGGAAGGCTGAAGCAGGCTTCAACCTGGGAGGCTACTCGTGAGGCTGAGAATGGCTTCAACCCAGGAGGTGGAGGTTGCAGTGAGCCAAGATCGCACCACTGCACTCCATCCTGGGCAACAGAGTGAGGGAGAGTCCGAGTCAAAAAAAATTTTTTTTTCATTTCTTGTCAATATATGCCTAACAATGGATTTGTTAGATCATATGGTGACTCTATATTTAACCATTTGAAGAACTGCCAAATTGTTTTTCAAAGTGACTGTACCATTTTACATTCCCTCCAGCAGTGTACGAGGCTTCCAATTTTTCCACAGATTTACCGATGCTTGTTACCATCTGACGTTTCGATTCTAGCCATTTTAGGAAGTGTGAAGTGATATCTCATTGTGGTTTCGTTTGAATTTCCCTGATGACTAAAGACGTTGAGCATCTTTTTATGTGCTTATTGGCTACTGGTATATCTTCCTTTGAGAAGGAAATTAATACATTTTGTCCATTTGTGATTGGGTTATTTGTTCCTTTTTAAAATTATAATATGTAGACAGCATGGCATATTGTAGACAAAGGGAAATTGAATCTGTTGGCGCCAGCTCTTGGTAAGAAACTATGATTTTAAGATGATATTCTATCCTCAGCTATATGCTGGAAATTTTCTAGGATTAGAAGAAAATGACTCATTCTGGACTTCCAACCAGGAAAAAACTCTACATTATTTGGTAAGGTGAGGACTAAAATATATGATTTTCTGTGGATTTTATTGTTAAAAAACACTATGCAAATCATAACTTGGAACAAGTTATACCCATATATACATAGATATGGGTATAGATATAGATAGTATTTATATACATATGGGTTTTATCTTTACTTTTTCTGCCCACCCTTAGGAATATTAGTGAGGAGTGAAATGGCCAAAAGTACACATCAATCTTGATAGCATTCAGCTGCATGTAACTAAAACAAAACTAAGTGGCTTAACAAAGAGAGGTTCACTTTTCTTTTTTGAGACAGAGTCTCACACTGCCGCCTGGGCTGGAGTGCAATGGCGTGATCTCGGCTCACTGCAACCTCCGTTTCCCGGATTTAAGCGATTCTCCTGCCTCAGCTCCCAGAGTGGCTGGGATTACAGGCGCCCGCCACCACGCCCAGCTAATTTTTTGTATTTTTAGATCAGGCCGGTCTCAAACTCCTGACCTCGTGATTCGCCCACCTCGGCCTCCCAAAGTACTGGGATTACAGGCATGAGCCACTGCTCCCAGCCTCATTTTCCTTTTCTAAAGCGTAGGTAGTCAAAGACGTCATCAAGCACCCAGCCTCCTTTTTATCGTTCTGCTCTTTCTTCCTTAATATGTGGTCCACACTCTCATCATCAAAAGATGACTGTGCCACCTTCCACATTGTACTTGAATTTTAGGCAGGAAGAAGGGTGAAGGGCAAAAAGTTCCCGCCAGTCAAGTCCCCCTGCCCACCTTGTTAAAATCGGGAAAGAAACAGCTGCTTTCCCATGCTTCGCCCCGCCTCCGCCCCCAGTAGACTTTTTCTTACATCTCACTGGCCAGAACTGCGGCCTAACTACTCCTGGGAAATCAAGTTTTTGGCTGCACATGTTATTGCCTTGAGCAAAACAGAAGTTCTGATGGTTAGAAAAACAGGAATGATGGATATTAGGTAGTAATTAGCAGAGCTGCCATGGGTGGCAATAGGGGGAAAAAATGCAGCTCAAGAGCTGGAAAATAAATATACAAATCATATAATGTATATTTAAGAGTTTATCATGGTAACTTCTTGGGAACTATAGCATATATCCCATAAAGTTTCTGAGCCTATCTGCATAATTTATCCAACACTTAGATATTGATCTAGCCTGGTCCTGTTGCAAGCACAGCAGTAGATTTCAGCCTAGCAGCGGAAGCCCTGATCAATTACCTTCCCTAGAGTTGAAAGTCTTTGAGGTGCATTCTCAAGGCTGTCACAGCATCCAGAACTACATATTCTCCTTTCTTTCTTCCTACATTTACGGCTGTTCCTTTCTATTTTCATTGCTGACTTTTCTTCTATCAGCCTATTATTTAAATGTTTTTTTTTAAGTTCTTTCTGAAGCCCTTAACTTAATCTTCACTTTTATCCTTTGTAATTTATTATAGCGTGGCTTCAATTATGAATTAATTAATGATGTTTCTCAAACCATGACACCACTTTGTCTTCTGACCTCCCAACCCTATCACTTAGATATCTAATAGACAAGTAGTACGTATTCTTTTTAAAATTCTTTTCATTTTATTTTTAAATTTTTATTTATTTAAATAAAAATTTATTTATTTATTTAAAGACTGGGTTATGAGACTGGCCAAATTTTGTATTTTGATAGAGATGGGATTTCACTGTTTCCCAGGCTGGTCTCAAACTCCTGGGCTCAAACAATCTGCCTGCCTCGGCCTCCCAAAGTGCTATGATTACAGGTGTGAGCCACCACACTCAGCCAGTATTAGGTATTCTGACTCCATTATTCTAATACTACCATTTTAACACCTCTATTTCAATGCTAAGGACACGCTAAGTATAAACAGTTTCATCAGAATTAGGTCAATATTGATGATGAAGAAAATACAGAGTAAATATCAAATTATTTAATATCATGATAAATTTTTTGTCTTAAACTAATTTCTTCAAATTTCACCTTTTATTTTTTAACAATTATATTTGGAATAAGTTCCTTTCTCTTTACACTTTATAACACACATTTGATTCATTGATCATGTTTTGTTCATATCAAATGGACAAGAACTCCATTCGGCATCCTGCCATTGTGTACTTTCTTTTGTGGTCGTTATTTTCACAGAATCTAATTTTTTTCTGTAGTGGTTTTCCATTTTTTTTTTGTTTTGTTTTTGAGAAACAAATAAGTTACAAAGAAAAAATAGAGAGATAGAAAACTGTAGATCAAAAGAGACTTAAGAAACATGTTTGCCAAATGCAATCTGTGGATCTTGTTTGTTCTTGATTGGAACAAATCTACTATCAAAGAAAATTATGAGACAATCTGGGAAATTTGAACACTGACAGAATTTTTAAGGATATTAATGAGTTATTAATTTTTTTGTATGATCATGGTATTTAATTATATTTGTAAAAGAGTCCTTATCTTTTACAAAGACTTGCTGAAGTATTTCCTAATGAGATAATATGAGGTCTTGGATTCACTTCAAAATATTCTGGAGGTAGGAAAAGTAGGTGTGCGTATAGGTAAAACAAAACGACCTTGAGTTAGTAATTGTTGAAGCTAAGTGATAGGTACATGGAACTTCATAATACTAGTTTCTATACTTTTGAATATTTTGAATTTTTCCATAATAAAAAGTGAGATATGTAAATAAATCCTGTGAAGCAGATTTGTTTCTCTAAAAATTACATTTTTTTACATATATTTTTTTTTTGCTGCGTGATTTTATTACTATAAATATACAGTAAAAACAAACGGGCCCATCTGAGCACATCAAATGGCAGCAGGTATGAGTCCCAGCGGGCCATTCTGCAGCCCGAGCTTCACGCAGAGCCCTGGCACCAGGACTGACAGCCAGAGGCTGGGGCCTTGGCAGAGCGGGAGGAGAGGTGGGGTTGTGGGGAGGTGCGTTGGGGAGAGGCGCGTGGGGAGATGCCCGGGCCGAGTGCACACACACGTGGGAGCATATGCGTATGTGTATGTGTATGCGTACGCATGTGCGTGGGAGCATGTGTGTATGCGTGTGTGTGCAAATGTGCCTGAGCATGTGTGCGTGAACGTGGGAGCATGTGTATGTGTGAGCATGTGTGTGTATGAGCATGTGCAAGTGACTGTGCATAAGCATGTGTGCGTGAACGTGAGAGCATGTGTGTGCATGTGCACGAGGGCAGGAGGGGGGCTGGCCTGGGTGCGCAGGGAGCTGGGTGTGGGGACCACTGCTGGGTCTCCCCTGAGCGCCCAGGAAGCAGAGCTTGTGCTCGGAGCCACCTGAACCTCAGGGAGGGCAGTGAGCTGCCCCACAGCCCTCTGATCCCCAGGCCCGGCTGCAGGGCAACCTCCCCGCCCAGGCCAGAAGACCCGCACATTTCTGACCTGTCCCCTGCAGAATGAGCTGGGCCTGCTAGGAGGGTTGCTCAGAGTTCCAATGCCAGGAAGAACTGCCCGTGCGCGGAAAGCTGGAGGGAGGAGCGAGGACTTCACCTGGGAAGACGGAGAAAGGCTTTGAGGAGATGTGGTATGGTGTGTTTCTGTGGGTACTGGTGTCTTCTCTCTTCTGTCATGTCCCCGTTGGATTACTGGCCCTCTTCACCCTCAGACATCACAAATATGGTGCAGCTATTGCTGGAGTTTACCGAGCAGCAGGAAAGCAAATGATACCATTTGAAGCCCTCACTTTTGGCACTGGACAGACGTCTTGCGTCGTGGTGGTCTCCTTTTTACGGATTTTAGCTACTCTATAGCATACATCCTTATGCCTAGATGTTGAACCTAAACTTTATGGAATCCTCCAAAAGAATACATTAGGGAGTGTAGAGTTTTCTTAGTTCTTCAAATGAAGCAACTTGGGTGAACGGGAAAGTGAAGGACAACATCTTAACCTTTTCTTCAGTTCGAAGTTCATAGAATTGAAGACTTTTGTGGACTCCCATTGTTCTCAACCAAAACAAAACAAGTCTCCTGGCTTTCTTTTTTGAAGATACTTAATTTAAGCAGTTTTCACATGTACCTTTACCCAAGTCAAGTCAACTGTGCCTCTGGGGTGGTATCCCTTGCACTGAAGTTTACAATATTCTGTGAGATGTTGCATATTTTAAAAAACTATGGAAGATACTGGTTTATTTCAAATGGGCAGAGTATGTTGTATTAAAATCTTAGTTTATCTAAAAAAAAAAATGGCAATTTTAGCCATCAGTTTTATTTAGTTATCAGTTCTATTTAGACAGAGAGAGACCTTGTCTCAAACTAAGTAAATAAAATTTTTATTTATTTTGAGACAAGATCTCACTGTGTCTCCCAGGCTGGAGTACAATGGTGTGATCCGAGCTCACTGCAACCTCCACCTCCTGGGTTCAAGCAATTCTCCTGTCTCAGCCTCCTGAGTAGATGGGATTACAGGCATGCACCACCCCCACACCTGGCTAATTTTTGTATTTTTAGTAGAGACGGGGTTTCACCATGTTGGTAACGCTGGTTTAAACTTCTGACCTCAAGTGATCGATCCACCTGCTTCAGCCTCCCAAAGTGTTGGGATTACTGGTGTGAACCACTGCACCCGGCCTTATTTGGTGTTATTTCTATTAGTAATGTTTCTTACAAATTGGATAGAAAACTGATCATTTGTACTCATTTCTTAGCTGTCCATTAAAAACTTGTCAGAAGTTTTGTTTGGATGTTTCAGCTGCAAGTTACAACAAACTTTAACTCAGCTGGTTTCAACTATAGGGGAATGCACCACTTCCCATAACAAAAAGTTCTACATTGGAACCACCACTCCAGGATTGATTCATTCAATGGCTTGGAACTCTGCCATCCTCAGGATCCAGTGATGTCCTGATGTCCAAGGACTGAAAAGGATTGTGTGTCTCTATTTATTAGCTTGAGAAACCTTTCCAGAGTTCCTTGGATGCTTTCTACTCACATCTGTTTGCCGAAATTAGGTACACGCCTAATTAATCCCTGGCAAGGTGAATGAGTGCCTTAGATCAGTCCCAATTCCCTTCTGTAGGCTTGGAGTTAGAGAGACTTAGCAGGAAAATGGAACTTATTCAAAGGTAGAGCTCTGCCAGCATGGGAAAAGGGAGAAGTGCCTGCAATAGGAGAAACAACAAAAAGAGAGGTGGAGACAACAGATGCTGGAAACGATGCGGAGTAAAAGGAACACTTTTACACTGTTGGTGGGAGTGTAAATTAGTTCAACCATTATGGAAGACAGTGTGGCAATTCCTCAAGGATATAGAAATAGAAATTCCGCCGGGCGCGGTGGCTCAAGCCTGTAATCCCAGCACTTTGGAAGGCCGAGGCGGGTGGATCACGAGGTCAAGAGATCGAGACCATCCTGGTCAACATGGTGAAACCCCGTCTCTACTAAAACTACAAAAAATTAGCTGGGCATGGTGGCGCGTGCTTGTAATCCCAGCTACTCAGGAGGCTGAGGCAGGAGAATTGCCTGAACCCAGGAGGCGGAGGTTGCGGTGAGCCGAGATCGCGCCATTGCACTCCAGCCTGGGTAACAAGAGCGAAACTCCGTCTAGAAAAAAAAAAAAAAAAAAAAA